TCTGGAATTTAAACCAATTCATTTAAAGTGGGAGGCTACTGGCGTAATAAACTGTGTGCATTACAAAATGGAGAAACAAAAAATACAAAGAATGGTCTGAAAGAGTCTTGAGTCATAAGACCGTCAAAATACTTGAATATTGGCAACAAATTCGAATCGTATTTAATTTGCTAAAAATACGACACAAACCAGGTGTACAAATAACAAAAGATGTATTTGCCAGGATTTCACGGCTTACTCGAGCGTTTTGCAATACCAATGTATTGTTTGAAATATAAACATTCAATTGTAAACTTTTTGAAAATATTTGACACGTGTAGATTTATGCACCTGTAATTATGTATAATATGTCCAAGTATGTAACCAGTTAAATAAAAAAACACATTTCCTTGTAAACAATTATGAAATTTCTAACCTCTGTGTATCTGGGAATAAAGCTTATATTAGTTATAAAAAGATTCATAACATCAGTTGATAAGGTATTCAACAAAATACAATATATCCCACGACATTTCTCTATTATGGAGCACACAAAGGACGAATATCTTATTGACCCTTTCATTAAATTAACAAGGGACTGATTGTATAGTACTGTAATTACTATATTGAGAGCTCTTCAATAATACCGGTAGATATATATCTTAGAAACAATATTGGATAGTTCTCGTCTAACTAATTGTAGTTTGGTATGTATTGTATATCATTCACATCAACAGCCCATACTAGTCCACTGCTGGACATAGGCCTCTCCTTAGAAAGGAGGTTTTGGCCTACTATACCACGCTGGCCAGACGGGTTGGTATAGGGTTTGTTTCATGTTTTCCTTTTCTTTGCAGTGCTGTTGTCCTGCTTAGTTTGCTCCCTTAGTCGGCTCTTACGACACCCACGGGATGAATTGGGGTGGTGACAATTTGTATTCTTAATCCGTCACCACACGGACTTTGTATATCATTGTACTTTTATAATTCAAAAATTTCAATATTCCGAACTACTATGCTCAAAATACCGAGTTTTAATAGATCTAATAACAAAAAGTCCGACTTAATGATAATTTAAAACATCAAAAATTCGAACATAAAAATATTTTCTTTCGCTGGTGACAGTTCTAACCTAAATTTACCTAAATGATTCACCCATAATAGAGGGTAACTGTTGTAACCCAACCTAATCCAAAGAAATAAATAACAGTAGGTAGATAGTACCCACCGCGGGTAAGAGAACATAAGGAGAAGAAGAAAACACATAAATAATATTGATACACAAATATTAATAATAAAGTAGACGTTTTTAAACTACATTAAACGTACATACATAGATTTACATAGATTACATACATAGATTTTGAAATTATAATAATATGCGTAACTGAATATTAACTGAATCAGGATACTAATTTTAGCAGTTTATACATTGTATAAATCGGCATGTCGTTTTTCGGACCGAATTTGATTCTTCGAACTTATAAAAATCGGCAAACAAACAAATCCCATTTACATTAATTTCGTGAAATTTAATAATAGACATTAGAATTCTTAGGTATTATGTAATTCGGACTTTTGAAAATCGGAACATCAAAATTCGTCATAAAATTTTCGGAGTATTTGTGTATTTGAGTGTTCGGTTCGGTGTTGCCATTACAACTAGCAGTAAGATAAAATTGATGACCGTTATCAAGTTACGATTCACTAAACTGAGTATTGTAAATCTTATCCTGATACATTGTAAATTGGGAATAATTTTAGTTAACTTGACAAATTGATATTCATACCCTAATAGGGTACCCCAATCACAGATGGGATATATACGAGGATGCTATTTTTCGAGTCCTCTTCGTATTCCCGTAGACTAAGTTCTGCTTGCTTGAATTTTCTCACTCCAAATTATTTGCTTATTTTGTCTTATTTAAAAACGATTACATTTGCAAGAAGATAGTAAGAGAGTTACCCTATAAGTGGTGAGCCATAAAAAAACCAACTAAAACCCTTTGCAACGTTTCACTTCGTACCGAAAATCGTAAAATAAAGTTGAAAAAAAAGGACAAGAATATAATAATATCATAATAATAATATTTTCGGACATTGACACACAAGCTAGATTGACTGATAGAATACTTACATACTTTTTTTTGTAAAAACATACATATTTTACATATAAAACATCCAAACTCCGAAACAAATATTTGCAGATGATACAAATATTTGGTCCGACCCGGGAATCGAACCCGAGACCACAGCACAGCAGTCCAATACGTTACCACTGCACCACCGAGGCAGCTGATGATAAAGACGTCTAAATTTTAAGTCCCTTAAATACAGGTTTGTAAAGAGCCGCTGACTCGGGCGGAAGGGACTCCAAGGGCAGCAACGCACTTGTAACTTTTGAGTTGCAGGTGTCCATGGGCGGCAGTAGTTGCTGACCCGTCTGCTCGTTTGCCCCCTTATACCATAAAAAAAGCCTCCCTTGTATAAATATTGTTGAAAAGAAACTTTTCCAAGGAGAAAATAACTAAGAAATTATCAGATACTAAAGCTCTTCAAATAAAAACATTTGCAAAATTTACTTGATACGCTTAAGATGCCCCAATTGATAAACTTTCCGAAGGAACAAACAGATATGAACGGAATATTTTGCGCTTGTTCTTTGATGAGAAAACCAAAGCCGTCCATATAATTTAGGTGAAACTTACAAAGACAAACTAAGTTTGTTAATGAATATTGTGGAGTATTGTCAGATTCCAATAGCGCTGGGCTCACCGAAGGGGTTGAAATTTCATTGTCTATCAGTTATAAGACTTTTGCCTTGGTATTGTTTGGGCTTATTGTTAGGATTATAACGCGTGCATATTTTTTTGGATATTTATGTTTTAAGATATGTGTTTAAATAATAATATTCTGGGTTTCTTTCTACAAAACTTTAAGGTAGATCTTAATAATTATATGTGCTGTTAAAATTGCTGGACTTTATTCCAGTATTGGTTATTTTTAAACATTATATTAAGAGAAGTAATTAACATGAATGCCATTTAAGATTCCAATGAAAAGCAGTAATTGAAGTGAACATAATAATCTTGGAATCAATCTATGTTTTAACTAGCTTTTGTCCACGGCTCCGCCCGCATGTCCAATTGACAAAAGTGTCAAGTAGGAAATGAGCTGATGGTTTTCAAATGTCTGACCAAATCTTAATAAATTATTTCTGAGACTATACCATCACGTCACAGACACATAGACAGACACGTCAAACTAATAACACCCCTGGAATCTTTTTCCGACGGGGGTTAAAAAAGGTAGCGTGCGAGACGATATTATCACATGTTCAGTTAAAATGTTTATCCCAACCTATAAGACAAAGTTCAGAAGTACATATATAGAAATGTTAAGTTGGTTTACGTACGCTTTAAAAATATGAAAAGTTCTGCACCGATTGAGGTCAAAGTTTGATACGATATATAAACCGCTTCAAAGGTTGTTTTTATCTATTTTTTGTGTAAGTTTTGTTCCTCACTTCTCATCAATGCAACAACAAAGTGCGACGAACGTCCACAGCAAACAGTGGCAGGTCACAGCTAGATAGTAGTAATAGTATGGAAGAAAATTTATCAATTAACATCTTATTTCAACATCGTATAGTTTCTAATAAATATGCATAGTTTAAGAAGTGACGGATTAAGAATCCGGAGTGTCACCACCCCTATCCACCCCTTGGGTGCCGTAAGAGGCGACTAAGGGAGCTAACGTAGGATAACCAGCACGGCAAAGAGAAGGAAAACTTGACACAAACCCTAAACCAACCCGTTTGGCCAGCGTGGTATAGTAGGCCAAAACCTCCTTTCTAAGGAGAGGCCTATTTCCAGCAGTGGATTATTAAAGGCTGTTGATGTGATGTGATAGTTTCATCGTAAGGTTTGAGACTTTGAGGATAATAATTTCCGTTTGATTAAATATTTTACTTGAAATCATTTGTCCTTGATATAATTATGTAAATATTTTCTCTTTTGTTGTTGACTCAGCGTTGCCTTAAACAAAGCTAAATCGAGCACTTGCAGAATACCTCGAAGGATTTATGATTTAGTATAAATAATAAAAGATATTTAGCGCCCGTTGTTTGTTGGTCTTTGAATAATTTAAGAACAAGAATCTGAGATTTCTCGATGGCTCATTTAAAAGTGAAGGCTTAAGCACCCGTTCATTATTTATTAACAAACATTTAAAGAGACCCAGAATTCTGAATGTATTTTGTTGAATGTTTATTTCAATAGAAACTAAGTTATTGTCTTATTATATTTTGTCAAATCGTTAATGTATCTTTTCTTACTAGAATTAATTAAAAATATTTTATTCTGGACTCAATTTTATTGTGAAAAAATTGAGAATGTATTTATCTTGTTTATACATTTTTCGTAAAACAATTTTATTGCCTTTCTGTTATAATCTAAATAGTCTACATACCAATAAGTAGACCAAAGAGAAAACGTTTTTAAGACATATTTTCCAATAATGATTATTTTGTTTTCGACTCGCCAACCCCGATTTTTACAACATTCTCGTGATAAATATTAGCTTTTTCTAGTGTGTGTTTGTTCCTAAAACATTCTATATTTTTATACAATTTCTTCCTTACGTCATGATAACATCAACGATTTTTGCAGTATATAAATAATATACTTAATAAGGTGTTTCTTATTTTTCGACTTTTGAAAAATTACTGCGTGAGCCCGCCATTCGCTTATCACCTATATTTTTTATTTATTTCTTAGATAGGTTTTTAGGGGTCACGTCGTGTCAAAGTTTGAAAAGATTATGATAATGATAACTTGCAGCTTAATGTACAGTAACATGTAACAGTTATATTCATAATTTATATATGATAAAAAATACTAATGCAACTCGTTGTCACATTATTCCGTATAAGGACACTCGTACCCACCCCTCTCCCCCTCCCGCACGCACCAGTCACAGACAAAAGAAGCGCTGAGTTTATTTTTTCACTTTAAAATTGTAATGAAGCAAACCAATCGCAATTCCGCCAACGTCATGGCATTATGGGAACGAGCGGACATTCCAACTAAATTGAAAAAAGATGTCATAAAGAAGATAAAGGACAAGATTAATGAGTGGCAAAAGTTGAAAAAAAATAAAGAATATAAAGTCAAACGGTCTGAAGGTCTACGAAATAAAGAAAAGGAGTGGCAAGATAGTTTGGAATACCTGTTTAACATAGCGCACGCTGATGCTCTAAACAAGATTACCATTGAAGAAGATAGACTATTTTAAAAGAGCAGAGAAAAAGAGGACTCCCTAGTACAATAGGCGAAGTGAGCAAAGTTCTTTTACAAAAAATAGCGAAAGAACAGGAGAAAAACTTTCGAGAAAAAAGTTACACTGAATCCTAGCGAAAAAAGTGCTATATTCTTCGACTAGCGGTAGTGATTATGAAAGTAAAAGCTCAACGTCAGAAATTTTAGTAAAGGCCCACCCTCACTGAAATTTCCTCATGATCCCGACCTTCGCTGGCAGATTTAGAAGTCCTAAAGGCAAACGCGGCAGAAAGAACATCACAACACTTTGCTAAATGAGGGGCAGGAAAGCAATTGTTGTTTTAACATCAACGTTCAAAAGTGCAGGTACCCATCCATCAGAGTACAATATGAATTCATCCTCAAATCGCTCCAGCGTATGAAGCAAAGGCAAAAGGGTAGCGGAATCCTTAAAGAAAGAATTTAATCCAAATACGCCTCTTACTGTTTATTGGGACGGCAAACTGATCGAAGACATAACAGCACACTAAACAGTGGATCGCCTTCCCATTTTAGTGTCAGGACAGACACTATTTTTTCATGGAACTTGAGCGACAGCGAAAATAAAATACTTTTGCTTCGACACCACTGCGGTCAACAATGGTTTAGCTAAAGATGGAAAAAGATGCTTTTTGGTTTTCCTGTCGTCACGATATAATGGAAATACTGCTAGAAGCAATCGTACATCAAGCACTTGGTCCATTAAGTGGACCAGAAATATTGATCTTCAAACGATTTAGAGAAATATGCTTGGACATTGACCAGAATAAGTTCAGTACAGTTTCTTCAAATCCTGACGCTTTAAGATACGTAGGAAAAATTGCAGGCAGCGCAATTTTATTTGCTGAAAAGCAACCACGTGACGATTACAAGGTACTGTTGACACTTCCGATAATATTTTTGGAAGGTGTACCTAATAATGGGAAATAATTCACCTCGCGCACGATGGATGGCTGAAGCAATTTATTGCACAAAGTTTCTAGAGAAATTGTACGTTCTATGAGAGTGATCAACGTCATTGCGGAATGCGGTGTAGCATTGATTGAAGAATTTAATAAACTAATTACCACAGACGAAGACCAAAAACAATTCCTTCTTTTGGTTGTGAAAATTTTCAGGCAAAAGTACAGATACAAAAAAATCTACTTTATTAACATAAGTTAAAAAAAATCCCAATACTTATATAATTTGTGTATGCTTGTCTTTTTTAGAACTTAATTAAAGAATTTTTAAAAATACTTTTTTCTTTATTTTTCATTCGCTGGTAGCGTCCCTTGAATATTACATTAAAAATTAAATAAAAATTACTTACTGCCCAATCAAGAAGCACCCTAATACTTAGATTTCATTTCATTAACTCGTTAACTTTAACAGAATTTATAAGATTTTAAATTAAATATTTATGAATGTTTTTATAGATTTAAATTGTATTTTTTCCTTCACTGCCTTTGTGTTTAAATTCACCCGTCTATTCGGTTTCTCTACAAAAAGTTCCACTCCACTACAATAAAAAGGTAATGTCAAAAAGCTGAAATATCACTCACCTCTTCTGAACTGATTGTGGTTCTTGATCACGCGCTCTGCATTCTTTCGTGCGATGTAGAACCACTCCGACGTATTGCTTAGATATTTGTATTCTACAGCCAAATCCTTCGCCAATATCGGCCCTTCAGGCAGCCGGTACGCGAATGGACAAAACAGTTGATAGTCTTTATACTGAAGTTGGTCGTAGCAATTTCCTGCTGCGAAAATGTCGTCATCAAATTCAACCATTGAAAACACGCTAGCGTGTAACAAATATTCGTTGTGCATAACTTCTGGTCCAGCATACTTCCATAGTCTTGTGAGCATGTTTGCTCGATTGACAGCCACATCGGCTTCTATTCTAAATCTTTCTTGTGCGTATCTGTCTACAACTCCTACTCCTAAATTTAAATGCGTACCGGCAGTACAATTTTCTCCGAGCAAATGTTGAGTTTCTATCAATCTTAGAAACTTAGTAACTACATCTTCATGAACAGGTCTTGTGACTGTTACATTTTCTGCTGTTACGCTTATATCTCCTAATTCAGCATTATCATCTAAATTTATTTTCGTATCATTGTTATCATAACTATGTTCTACATTAATGAAGTGATCAACTAATGATACATCGTCCGTAGTGATGTCGGTTTTTTGGGAAATTGATGTATTGCCAAAGAATTTTTGAAAACTAGACTGGTCTTTTGGACCATCATCATCATCGGGCACTGCGTAAGGCTTTAATACTGCTATCACAGGATCTTCTCCGGATTTGTCAATACTCTCTGGAAAAAAAGAAAAATAATTTAGAATTTACTATTTAAAGGGATTTAATAACACCTTAAGTATCTACTATTAAAATAAATTGTTCTTTTTTTATTGCATGTTTATGTATATTGTATTGTTATATTTGTATTAATTAGTATATTTTGTTTTTGGGTATTGGTATTTTATCCGTCCGTCCATCCATCCGTGGGAGAGCCATGCTTCGGCACGAATGGGTCGGCTCGACCGGAGTGATACCACGGCCTCACAGAAAACCGGTGTTAAGCAATTCTTTCGGTGCGTTTCACTGAGTGAGTGAGGTTACCGGAGTCCAAATCCCCCGTCCGCTGACTCAACAGGAAGGACTCCAAGGGCGGCAACGCACTTGTGACTTTTGAGTTGCAGGTGTCCATGGGCGGCGGTAGTTGCTTACCATAAGATAACCCGTCTGCTTGTTTGCCCCCTTATACCATAAAAAAATTGGTATCAAAAACTTTGAAGACAAACATTTTGATAAAAATGTTTGTCTACTATAAATTGAATATAAATGGTATTTCATAATAATACGCTCCATACGCCAGACATATTTTATTTAATGGTATTCAATAGAATATCCAATACTGCAAGTAAACTAAAGCTTCTTACCAATACGATACGATGCGAGTTAGTGCGAATGCATAAGATAGTGGGTTTCAAATAAAACCAATCTTTTGTAAGGTTTGCTTTGGCTGCATGCAATTGCACGAATAGAGATTCTAGCTATAGTTTATGCTATACATTCATTTTGCTCGTTTTTATTAATATATGTGTATATATTCATCCTCCTTTCTAAGGAGAGGCCTATGTCCAACGGTGGACCATTAGAGGCTATTGGTGATGATGATGATGATATTTAACCTTGCAGATAAGGTTATACTATGAAATATTTTAGTACGAAAAGTTAAGTCCTGTGTCTTCAAAATAATAATTGTATTTTTTTTTACATTTGTTTATAACATAAACAGAGTAGGTTTATACAAAATGGCGGTATCTTAAGAATTCACGTTTATTTATATTTTATTTATTTGTAAAGGACAACTGCCGCATTAGGAATATATCCTGTGTCGCGGGGGACTTTACAAACATACATGAAACGGACACAAAGAACACCCAGACTCGGAACAACAATTTGTGGATCACACAAAGTGTCGTCCCATGTGGGATTTGAACCCACAACACTCGGCGCAGTAGAAAGCGGCGTGGCGACCGCTTAAACCACTACGCCATTCGTGCAGTCGATTGGTTTTTGTTTGAGCTTTCTACAGAGTCTACTGAGATATATTGGTTTTTGTTTGAGCTTTCTAGAGTTTATATTACACTGTTTTACAGTTTGACTACACGGATGCCGCATAAACCACTATGCCATTCGTGCTTCCTACTGCACGGAGTGGTGTGTGATCCACAAATCGTTTGTCTGATTCTCTAATAGCGCCTTATAACCTGTCAGTAAGTTGACAGGTTGTAAGCCGCTATTAGACGGGGGTCATAATTCACGTCGCCATGATAGGGTATTACAAATTATACGCGAAGCTATAAGTTTATCACTAGCGAGAGCGAAAAAAAAAAACAACAAACATAAAAACTAACATCGCGTTTGTAAAGAAAGGCTAAAGAAAAAAGACTTCACACAAGCCACCGCCAGTAACTGTACGTTATTAGTGGACTCTTATGAAAATCATTAGTCAATACAGGAGGATATCTGTGCCTTGGCCAGACATATTTCTTTATCCAATTTCAATTACTAGTAGAACTCACGTTGCCGTGGGAACCAAACATTGCTAAAGACCGCGCTTAAATAAGTACTTTGACTTAACCAACGAGATAACTAAAAATAGTTATGGTAAAGTGGGTGCGAGGGGTATACCAGGCTGTAAAGCTAGCTGTAAAACTGCTTAAAGACCTTGGATTGCCAAGAACTTCAGTAAGCTCTTTTCTAGAACGAATTTCCAAAGCGGCATTGCTAGGCTCGTGTCAATTATGGTTAGGTAGAGGGGGTAACACAGCAAACAGTCCAGGTGAGCGCTGACGCGTCGCAAGGAGTACTCCCTAAACCTATTGTATTAGCCTAGGAATTGTGACCAAGGTAGGGTCACAATTCCTAGGCGCTGCGCAGTCGAAGTCGCATGTGTTGCCCCCATCTGTCACGCGATGGACCCGGCACCCGCACGGTGAATCCATGAAACGCTAAGAAATAGGTCTTAGAAATAAAGTTATAATGTAAGTCCCTAAAATTTTCAATAGACTTAATTTTCAAACCATCGATTTTAAGTCTTGGATTTCCCAGCAAAAACGTGTTCGAGTTACAGGTAGGCACCTATTTTGTTTTCTGTTTTTCGTGCGGTAGCTCTCATGAGTGATACCCGCTTGAACTATTGCTGACATTAAATCACACCATCACTGACAGACATCACATCCATCCGTATAAACAATATTCCTTTACCTTGATTCCTTTTTAGGGTGCCGTACCTCAAAAGGTAAAAAAGGAACCCTTATAAGATCACTTTCTTGTCCGTCTGTCCGTCCATCACCACCAATTTTCTCAGGAACGGGTAGACCTAGCAGGTTGAAATTTATACCAGATACTAAGGTCTATAGTCCCTATTAGGTGTATAAAAATCAAGGTCCTGAGTCAACACGATAAAAAGATATGGGCAAATTTCGATTTTCGCGAAAACTTGTAAGTACCAAAATTTACCTTAATTTTAAACTTTTTTTATTTTTCAGAATTTTCTCTTTACTTGTGCTATAATACCTTGCTTTTAACCAAAATTGTCAATTCTAGGGCAACCGGAAGTACCCTATATATTTTGGGTCGAAAACCTATATGGTAGTTCCCGTTGACCTACAATCACGAAATTTGGCAAAAAGGAACGTAAAATAAAAAAAGTTGAAAATTAAGATAAATTTTGGTACTTACAAATTTTAGTAAAATCTACGTAAAATCTGGGTAGGTACGGAACCCTCAGCGCACGAGTTCGACTCGTGCCCTTTGTTAGTATTGCTTTAAGTCGGTTCAATTTTTTTTAAAAAGGATTTTATATACCACTAATTTCAATATACCCGGTTGATAGTCATACACCTGTCTATTACTACGTAAATTAGACAAGAAATACAGTTAGCAAAATGAGTGCATTTAATACGTATGTGATTACAATATTTTTTAAATTTGATTTTATTGCATTAGTTTTTTCCGGGTTACCAATATCTTACTTACCCCTTGGTGTAAGAAGGGCCCACAGGCTATTGTGAAAACTTTCCATAAAATACGTTTGTTGAATACGTTTTAAATCTAAATGTAAATATTTCTGCCCTACCCTTTGTTAATCTAAAAATAAATTTCTGCTGCTGAGGCGCCATTGCTCTATTAAGGAAATAAGTGAGGTAGTTAACACATGAATTTAAATACAGCTCTAAATTCTTGCCATCAGGCGGCCGTAAAATTATTTCCTAATTTCCTGGATTCTACAAATAGGTAGCTCAAAGGGTCACTTCCGCATCAGCAAAACATTAGCCGCAGCAAACATCCTATTTTCTGTAAATGTGTGCTAGGAATAAATGGCATCTATATTAAATCTAGTTTTGTCGACTGTTGTTTTGAAAACATTGTTTCAACAATGTTTTCAAAACAACGGCGAGCGCGTTGCGAAGCGCGCTCGCTTCCAGGGAGCAGAGGGAACATGGGGTTAAATCTAAGAAAGGCTAATAATCTAAAAACTATTTCCCTTTAACCTAAAAACTATTTCTTAAATCAATTTAAAGATCCTGTATTGTAACAATGCAGCAATTTTTACTCTAGCTCAGCCACTTATTTTGAAAAATTGCCTTCAAATATACTAAAGTCCTGCTCCTAAATTTCTCTAATACTCGAATAGGAAAAAAATATCGTTACAAACATTATTGCTCTGAGCTTTTCAAAAGAAATTTTCACAATAAGGCACTACCCTATAACCGTCTGCATAATATCGCCATCGACAAAAATTCGATAAAGCTGAGTAGTAAAGTGAAAAATATGTCACATTTGAAGCACTTTACTTTGATACAGTAGCGTTTTACTTAAACTTGAGCAGAAAATACTAAAATACATCAAACAATTTGATAGTTCGAATATAATATTGAAATGATATCAAATGAGCTTTTGCACACGGCTCGGCCCGGGTGTATGTCGTCGTTAAAAAGCTGCCTCTGTTATTTACTGATAATGTAGCTTACCATTGGTAAAAGAATTTTCAAAAGTGTTTAAGTAGTTTAGGCGTGATACGTAACAAACAAACAGACAGACAAATAAAAAAAAAACTCAATTTCACATGTATCATATAAGAATGGATGATTACTACAACTACGTTTTACATGTTTTATTGTTTTTCATCTTAATCCTGAAAATGAGTTTTCCCTGCAACAAATATATTTATTTCGTTGAATAAGTTGCTACTAGCATACCGTGAACATCCAGAATCAGACATGCATAGCTGTAGCTATTTCCGCACTGCACATCGTACAAGCTTTATCTGTAGCTTTTCCGCACCTTACTAGATAAACTCAAAACCTAACTAAAAATCAGGATTTACCGCCAAACACTTACATTATATAAAGTAACGATTGAAGAAGAAGAAAAAACGGTTTATTACATTAATGCATGTACTCCAATTTAATAGGAAATACAAATATTCTGTAAGATGTTTTCTGTTCAAAGCAAAAAAGCCCGAAATCCTTGCGATGATTCATTTGGTTTATCACAAAGTTTGCCCAAAGTCAATACACTTAAATCCTTTGACAGAATACTCGTACCCGAAGCTGAAACAAGGATATTCCATTGCCTAGCTTATGGAGATTTCCTTCATTCGTAAATGTTTTTATTAAAGAAACTAAAAAGTGAAAGACTGCTAAAGTTTGGATAAGTTAAAAATAAAGACAAACAAAGGAGATTTTGCGCAGGGCAGTTTAGGTCATTGGTGTTTTCCATTGGGCAATGGTCAATTTTATCGAAGCTATAATAGAGTCCATGAGTTTTAAATTAAAAAAAATAAGAAAGAACAAGTTATAAAGAGTTAGTTATAGATTAGCAAGATATAAAACAGCATTACAAGGTTATTGAATCCAAGATTTTCTTCGTTAATGGAAAATAACAGAGGTATAGATAGTTCAACTCAGTTGTGCGCGCGGCCCTATGTGTGCGTGGGCTTGTAAATATACAACTTTCATTCGTGTGGTATTCGTCTTGCTCGGACGACGACTGCCGCGTCACTGCCACATGAATGAAAGTTGTATATTTACAAGCTCACGCACACATAGGGACGCGCGCACAACTGAGTTGAACTATCTATACAGAAATACTTCTAAGTAAATGCACTTGCTTTTTAAGGTTATTATACTGCATTAAGTCGTCAGTTAGAAATACTAAATAAAAAGTTCTATCAAACCCGTGTCTTGTTGTGGGTGAAAAATATTCTATAATGATTTCATCTTGCCATGCACGGCGCGAGTCTGGCTCCTTGTGCCATGAATCAACCTTAATCCATAATGGCTTTGTCGACATATAGGTCATAAATTATTACGCTATTTGCCATGGGTGTAATGTTATATACGTAAAGTTCTGCCTTTGTGTACCATTATGCTCTTTGAAGGTTCTGATATTGTAAAACAGATAAAGATCTATATTGCCTTTACGGTCAGAGAGGGCAAATACTTTGTAATAGATTAGCGCAAGATTTCACTTGAGAAAAGACTTAAGATCAGTTAACTTAAGATCAGTTAACTTAAGATCCGTGTGGTGACGGATTAAGAATACGGAATGTCACCACCCCTACTCGTCCCGTGGGTGTTGTAAAAACCCACTAAGGAAGCTAAACTACGCAGGAGAATAGCACTGCAAAGAGAAGGAAAACTTAAAACAAACCCTTTAATAACGCGTCTGGCCAGCGTGGCATAGTAGGCCAAAACATCCTTTCTAAGGAGAGGCCTATGTCCAGCAGTGGACTATTAAAGGCTGTTGATTTGATGAATGTCCAGAATGTTTTTTTTTCGAAACTGGTGTAGTTTATTCAAGAAAGCTTAAGCAAAATAAATCTATATAACTAAGGCAATTAAGAAATTCTCCTTGCGTTATATAAATGGTGTTAAAATATGTATTATTATATTATATGTTTATAGTAGGCCAAAACCTCCTTTCTCAGGAGAGGCTTATGTCCAGCGGTGGACTATTAAAGGCTGTTGGTGAATATAATATAAATTGAACACAGTTTGCTTTCTAGATTGCGGTCCTTGAAAATACAAAGACTAAAAATTAAATTTATATTATATTGTAAAGTTTTTTTTTCGTTTTCTCTCCCACGCTTTTACTCGAGCGTCACCATAAGAGTGTATTATTTCAGATGTCAATTTCTGTATGACATGTATGTCTAAATTTATGACTTTTTTCTAACTGATCTATGATTTAGTCTAGAAGCATCAAATTTTGCACATATGTTCTTTAGGTGACGTAGGTGTACACCTCTAAGTGTACACCTCTTAATTCATATAAAACTTTGGTATTTTTGGTAGAAGCGTTTTCAAACTCACAGAAAATACTCTTTATTAAAATAAAATAAAAACGTTGTTGCTAATTTTTCAAAACTACCCCCAAATAGGTTAACTTTCTATGGGACGTATACCTATAATAGTGATTGATTGTATCCTCTACAACGTCTGATGTCGACCATCACGCGAATGAAGTCGTAGGCAAAAGCTAGTGTATGTATATTCTTACAAGGTGTAGAATTAATTAATAAATAATTATATCCAACAAATGTTTCACAGAAACATTGTTTATTAAAGTAACTCGAATAGTCTTTGAACAACATTGTTTGGAATCGTAAACTCGGTCTCTGTTTATTTTGAAATAATTGTACAAAGTACAGTTTCACGGAATCAAGGTAAACTATAAATTCGTATACCTTTAAATTCCTGAATTTATATCGTTGATTTTATTGTTCGCTGTGTTAATATTTTATTGAAACAATGAAAACAAAGGGATAAATAAATAAACCACGACCATTGGATTCGCTGCATCATTAAATAAGTTATGATGTGAATTCCATTCTTTTGTTAATTTGATTTAATAGTTTTATTTTTCTAAACAAAAAACGACCGGCTCTTAAATCTTGTGAAATTGAAAGGGCCCTACCACCATCACAAATCTATATCTATAAAAGAAGAACCGACAGAGTTAACTGTCTGATCGATCAACGCACAGCTGCAATCGCTGGCTCTAGAAGCATCAAATTTTGCACGAATGTGAATGATTGATTGTTTATAATGATGTTATTTAGGTGACGAGAACGGTAAAAAAATAAAAAAAATTCAACCCCTAAGGGTATTTGAAGGGTGGAGATTTATATGAAACTTCGTTATTTTTGGTAATAGCGTTTTTAAACTGTCAGTAAATACCCTTTATGAAAAGTAATAAAAATGTTGTTACTAATTTTTCAAAACTACCCCTATAAGTGATTACATACAAAATAATATTAGGAATTTGTACATGCTTATTATAGTAGGGAAAAATCGAGATTTCCAAAGATTTGCAATGTGATGTCATATATTGCACCCGTGCGAAGACGGGGCGGGTCGCTAGATAAATATAAAAATGAATTAATCATTCTGAGTTATTGTGAAAATAAGGCAATGGAAACAATTATTACTAGAAGTGTTTTTGAATTGTCAGAAGTTGGCGTTTCTAAGGAGAGGCCTATGTCCAGCAGTGGACTAGTAAAGGCTGTTGATGATGATGATGATGGTGGTGTTTTACTAAGTCACTCAATCCAGTTGCCTATTCGAATACGTAGATCCTATGGAAAAGAACAGGCAAGCAACTTTACGCTCTCCTTTAGAATGTGTTTGATGTGTAACAATTTTTCTACCTTTACCTAAAATCTGTGGGGTCTCCCACAGATTTTTTGAAAAGGAACCAAAGTATGTAACAGGAAGTTGGGTGGATACGTGCTTTTTGATTTAAATAACGAATACGCTGTGCTAGAGTTGGCATCAAATGCTTGAACATCTGAAGGCCACTTCTTCTAATTGCATAACAACCGCTGGATATTAATATTCAACTACTTTAAAGCTCGTTGGTCCTTGTGGTGACGGATTAAGAATTCAGTGTTTCACCACCCCTATTCATCCCGTGGGTGTCGTAAGAACCGACTAAGGGAAAAAAATCCGCAGAACAACAGCACTGCAGAGAGAAGGAAAACTTGACACAAACCCTATACCCAACCGTCTGGCCAGC